TTAACTTAACGTTAACATAAGATTAGTTTTTGAGTGATTTCCATTTTAAGATGCTGATCCCCCATCTTTGGTATTGATTTGCTGATTATATAAATACATTTCAAATCAAGCTTTTCTATTTTAGTACGATCGGCAACCAACAAATCTTTTAGTGTTTTAATAATCTTTTAAGACATTATTTTTTCGGTCTTTTTGGACCAAATTATTGTCTTTTTTTTCAGAATTTTTTTCGGTACTTAATTTTTTTTTAAAACCGATTTCTTTCTTTATATTTTTTCTTTTCCCTCAAATTTTTTTTTTCTTTTTCTTTCGAATTTTTTTTTATTTTTTCTTTCTTTTTCCTTTTCGGTTTCTTTTTTCAACCCGATTTTTCTCTTTGTTTCTTCCCACAAATTTTTTTTTCATTTTTATTTTTTTTTCATTTTTATTTTTTTCGAATTTTTATCATTTTTTTTTTCCCCGAATACATTCTTTCACCATTTAGGTTTGGATCAGTGATCAGATCAATGTTGCGACGCCACTACAATTGCATTTTTTCCTGATTCTTATTATTAATATTATTTTTTTGTATCAAGCTCAATAAGGCGACACAAAGTGGTAAAAATGGTTTTCATAGTCCGGCCGGGTCAGTTTTGTTAAGTCTTAAAAAAAAATTTTTTATATTATTACTATGCCGGGTGAGAATTTTTTAAAAATTGAAAAAAAATTTCGCATATAAAATTTTTGAAAAAAAAAATTAAAAGCCGGGTTGCCGGGTTATTGATGAAATTTTTATATTATGAAAACCATAAAATCAAGTTTGTATGGCCTAATATACTAGCATAATTACTTATTTATTCAATTTTTGTAACAATGATCGTTATAATTAACTTTTCTGGGGAATTTTTTTTTTTCATATTAATTAGTGAGATATTTTTTTTCTAGAGGATGTAATTTTTTTTAATGCTACAATGGAATTTTTAAGATAAAAAAAAAAAATTTTTTTTTGTAACAATGTAATGAATTTGTAAATTTACAGTACCGCAACATTTGTGATAAATAAAATTTGCAAATAATAATATTTCATATACTACTGCATAACACTTCACATAATTCATTGTTATTTGTATAATCATATAAATTGTGTAATTTATTACATTTATTCCCTATTAATCCCATCATAATAATAGTAACTATTCACACTGCATGGCAAATAAAATATAAGTGTGTTATTATTACTCTCTTACTTGATGGACAAGTGTCAACCCCGGCGCAACGCGACGGGTTACACTTAGTTATTTTAAAAATAAACTGCGGCATTTTGTCTGATAGTACAGTATCTAGAATTTTTGTATGTTTATTTAACTTTAGTATGTAATTTTATATGTAATAATATAGTAATATAGGAATTTATATAACATTTAATAGTAATCATATAAGTATATAGTAATTACATTATTTCAGTTATTTTGTAACAATGTAGCATTATTTGTTCAATAACAATTTTAATCTAAATTTATCATGATAACAACGACCCTTCTAAACTTATAGCAATTTTTTAAACAACTAATTAGAATTTCCAAATTATATTCCAAACTAATTCTAAACTTCTAAGCTAGTAATTTTAAATTACTAAACTAATTTTAAACTTTCTGATTGGTTTATATAATGCAGATAGATATTATATAAATATTATATCATAGTTTAAAATTAAGGGCTCATCAAATAAAATCAAGTAGTTAGTATCTGCCGGATGAATATCATGATCACCTACTTCAAAATCATATGGTCTTTCATCAGATTCACCTATATAATTTTTATTATCTAAATAATCTAATTGATTTATACCATGTCGATCAAATCTTCAATTATTTTGT